ATGAACGTGGGACAGTAGGAATAGCTATTACGTGCAAAGAGGAACTAACCAACGCTACAAGAATTATGGTCTTTTGAGACAAGTTTTTTTGGGACCATTCTGATTATCGTCACAATAAAGCATGTTTTGAAGAAAAAAAAAATAGTTTTTTTGTGGGCGACAGTGTTGCCATAAAAAATGTATTTGTTGCCGCAAATATTACTAAAGAGCAGTTGTTACCGTCATGCAGACTTTTTGAAATTCCAATTATTATTGGCGAAGCATTGTGACGGCATTGCGGAGGCTCCAAGAGGGTATCATAACGTATAATTCACTATTTTTTTTAGAACTATTGGCTGGCTGCGGTCAGTTTGAACAAACTGGCTCAATATTTTGTATCTTTTAACGTTATTTAAGTATCCATTCATTGTGCAACTTATTATAGCTCGAGTGGTTGACATGATCCAGTCCATGTAAAGAAAACTTATTTTTCATTTTTTTTTCTTTTTGATCATCCGAAAAAGAGGAATAATGAGGTTTAAACCCGTGACGCTAAATGACAGTAATTCATTGAAAATATTCAATAATTTATATATTATGTATACCTTCTCTACCCATCCAGTTGAGAGAAATAGGTATGTATCACACCCATTAACATCTGTGAGGTGTCACATAGCCCAAATTTTGGCTTCACTTTGACCTGGTCATCAAATATGACCAAATTTTGGGATAAATCCAAAAAACAATCATTTATAAAATCTTTATACCACTCATTTGGTTTAATTTTATAATTTTTAGGGGTTCACAAACTTTTTAGATTTACTTATCCTTTTTTGAATTTTACTTACTAGCTTTTTTATTTTCGGTACGATTGATTTTGTCAGACCTATCTTACTTCATATATAATATTATTTGGTTGTGTTTTTTTAGGTCAGATTTTTTGTAATGGACTATTCAAAATTTAATCTAGGGGAAGCTACCCAAGGATGCTTAAAGAGCCTTGTCCATTGGCTTCGAGCTAAAACAATAGGCTTTAAAGGAGGGATAATAGTTGTAAAAAATTTATAATATAAAATATGCCAAATTTTAATAAGTTTATTCGACGGTCTTAAATATATTCATCTAATGACCTTCAACATCCTTCTTAAAATCATTCACATTGAATTTTTATCCTTCCTAAATCCATCACTTCTCACTTTCATAGCATTGTACTTTCAGACACGAGTTACCTCTAATTCCTAACAAACCTCTAAAAAAATTTTTATATCAGCTCGAATATAAGTCAGAGTAAAATACAACACATTAAAAACATTTATTTTTGAACCCCCATCATTTACAATAATTTTATAGAGTCATCCTTATCTTGTTTTTTGGTTTGATGCATTGTATTATGCATTTGTGCCAAAAAAGTAGGGACTTGTAGGTGCACAATTTGCCAACTTGGTGGACATGAATATGATATCCTTTAAATTGGTTTGAACTCTAGTTTAAATGCTGTGTATAAGCCTTTTTGATACATCCCAAGCCAATTTTGTCTGCTATTTAATGTAGGACAGTGGTTCTGACAACAATAGCCCAATAATTCTATGGACTAGTAAATGTGTTTTTTTCCCTAGATAAAATAACAAAATAAATAAGTAATTAAGTAGAGAAAAATGGAAAAAAAGAAAAAGAAAAAAGAAAATAGGAAGAAAGTTATTATATGCAAATATGGGCGGAACATGGTTTTCAAAATCTATCATGGAATGATAGGATTCCAGAAGTTACTAATTTGAGTTTTCGGGTTTGACTCACGTGATTAAGCCTCAATTTATCGAATAGATGTAGTTTGTGAGTAATTATAAATATCCAGAGTTTGGATTATTTTTCTTGAGTTTAAGAGACGTGATTTAGACGACACTCGGTTGTGTAAAAAAAGAAAAACACGATTGTCAGAAATATTTAGGAGATTTAAAACTGTTTTATAAAGCTCACCACATATTCATTTTACTAAAACAAATACTTTGTATTATGCCAACGCTTGTACCATATGTGAGCAGACTGCCTCCTCTGTTTTATTTATTTATGTATTTTTTAGAACAAAACTGCAGATTTGATCTACAAATCTATTTATATTTAGATAGCAAAGGGGTTATTCCAAGGGTGAATTATACTTTGTACCCTGAAAAATTTAAGAATTCTCATTTTGCACTCTCAAATATAAAATTTCTCACACTGTACCATTAATATATCAAAATTGTTGCAATGTAGTCTTTTTGTTATCTTCATTTATTTTTTCTGTGAAAAAATATCCAGTTAATACTATCGGAAAAAATAACAGAATCTCACTAAAGGAATACATTGTGACACTTTTTATATATTGATTGTATATCCAAGTGCTAAATAACGTATAATTAGATAAGTCTCAACAATAGATAAATCCTAACACATGTAATGTTATTTTGTTTAACAATTCTTATGGATGGTTGAGTTTTGTATTTGACTACACATAAATTTTAATTTCAATATCTTTTCATGCCGCCTGAGAGCTATCCGTCCTTGTCCCTAAAGAAATATGTTATAACTCAATTCATATTATAATGATAAGTCACTGAATTTGATAGAATTGTCGGTGTAAATTTAGACACCTTATAGATAGTTCTATTGAAATCACATTATTATGTCAAATTTTTATGTTCAAACAGTATTACTCAAAAAAATATATATAATTTTTTTATTAATTATGTACGACACTTTTGACAATCATGATACATGGAAAGCAGCCAATATTTTCTCCGGCAACGGACGAGGTTTACCTGGTCCTTTAGTAAACGGCCTTTCATGGGCCCCATTTCGAGTTGCTGACCGGTCAGACGGTTTGGTGGGACTAGCCGTCTACAAATTGGTTGTTTGGTGGGTTCTTGTCCACCAGTCCAACTCTTGTAGGCCCAGTTTTTGCAAATTGGTCCTTGTTTTTAACCTATTTCAGTTTTGTCGGGCAAATAGGCCCGGGTCATATATGTGGGCCCAAGATGGACACACCTGTTGAGCTGCCCGTGGACCATCACATGATGGGTCGGATCAACCCGAACTATGACGATTATTTGAACCCTTAATCTAAAAAAAATAAAATCTTCACAAAAAAAATAGTATCATTAGACCAAAAATCCGTCGATAATAGTAGTTGCGACACTTTTTATTGTCAATTAAATTGTGTAATGACTTGGGTTAAACATATATAGGAGTATCAATGTCATTTTTCTAATACAAAATTATTCGATTCGAATTTTCAAATTAGTCAAAATCCCATAAGGACAGTGACTATATTTGAATCATATTTATATGGGTCAAGTACTATGGCACCAAACTACACAACAAATGTAATAAATTTAACCCTAACATATGGATTGTCGAATACATTCTGGTCAGCAGTCCATATCAGCATTTTCTGTCGAGCCCACATAAGGGTGCAACTTGGACAGGTTATTCCGAACCCAACTTGAAAAAAAAATGACTTGGATTGAAATTTTTAAAATTTGGGTTAAGCTTAAACTAAAAAACCTCAACATGAATTAAATTCGGTCATACTCTAGTTCCCTACACAAATTACTAAATTCGGACTCTACCCATATTCACAATTTGGGTTCCACCCAAAATTTATATATACATAAATAAGTGTATTTTAAATTTTTATTGAATTTAATTTGAATTTAAACGGATCAAACTATTGTGTCATGCATGAAATTTAACCCAAATTCTGAGCCCAATTTGAACCCAAATTAGTTAACCTACACCAACCCAAATTGAGCCCAAAATTAACTTGAGCAATACTCATGTTAAAAGTCAGGCTCAGGTTAGGTTATAGTTGAAAGTTTTATAACTTGGGTTTAATCTACCCGAATTGCACCCCTAGGATCACTGCCCAGTTGGGTAAAGAAAATCATGAGAAACGCATCCCAATCATTTTTTTTTTTTTTTTTTGCTAATTGAAACACAAACCAATTTACCAGAACAAGGAAATTTAGATGCAATAACTTGGACAAAAAAATGTATGTGGAACATAAATGCCTAGCTTAATCAAACAATTGTGCCACAGGCCCTGCAAAATTGAAGGAGCTCGTAAAAAGAGAGTAGAAAGAAGAGACTACAAAGCACATGATACCTATACTGGGGAATGCCAAGATAAAATGTTTAGCTTCTGTTCTGATAGGTAAATTTGGGGTTTTGCACAAGCTTTCTGCTTTGAATGTTTTCTCTGATGCAATCCGGTGATGTGCTTACCCTGGTGATGTGTCTGCCTCACTGCTCTCAATGTCCAACTTTGGCTAACTCTGCAGGGAAAACTAACTGCGCATGATGAAGCAGGTACCTCCATGGGCATCAGACAAAGGCGAGGTGGAGAAGTCTGAGGTTGCAATTTTCCCTTCTTCCACATTGAAAATGAATGCTGTAGCTGGCATGGAACCTATATTTGAACGATTGACCAGGTGACAATAGTATCAGTAGAGACTAAAATTCTTTGCATAAAAGAATAGAAACATCCGAAAAGAAATTGAGAAAATTCTTGAATTATGTTGCTATATTAGCTTGAATTATTCTAAAACTGACAGAAATAATTTTCTTATATTCCGTGTTATTTTGAATAAACCACAAATTTCTCATTGGGTTCTATAAAATCGTTCCGGCAGTTATCCAAGCCTTGAATTTCTTGTGTCAGACTTTGGAAGATCCAAGTGCAAAACATGAGCCATGAAAAGAATGAGCTCTCAAAAAGAAGAAAGCCGTCGTGGCAAAAAATTGAGTCAGGTAACTACTCTTGCTATGTCTCAGACTTCACCCAATTTTTAAGTCCTTTCTCTAAATATAATTATATAGATTATAGTGAAACTAAATCCATGGGGAATCATTACTCACCGTTGAAAAGAGGCTACAATTAGCAAATGATAAGGAAGATGCAGCAAATGAAGACTTTCCAGCTCCATTTCCCTTCTGGTCATCTGTTCTTGAGCCTTGATCTTGAATAACAGACCCAAAAACTAACATTATCCTCCTCTTCCTCCTCCCTCATCTTCCTCCTCATCAGCTTCAGTTTTTTCAAACTGGTTATCTGGTTCAGGAAATATAATATCTTCTTCATCCTGCAAGCCCTTTTCCACTTTCTTCTCCTCCTCTTTCTGCATTCTCTTCAGCTCCTCATCCATATCTTCGATGGCCTCTTTCAGACATAGTTCAGCTTCCACTAATTCAATCTCCTTTTCCAATAGCTCCATCTTCATCTCACCAGCTTTCTTCTTCTCCTCGGTCCATTTCTCGAGTTTGTCAAACATTGGCTTGCATGCATTTTCCACTGCAGTTACAAGGCGCATCAATATGTTTTCCTTCTTCATGCTCACATCTCTTCCATAGAATTCATCAAATCCCAGGGGTAGGAACTGAACCTTTTCTGGGTCCACATCGTCCCCATCATTCAGAGGTGGTTGCCAAAATAAGCGCACGCCATATTCTTCATCGTCAACATAATTGATTATTTCGTCCAGTTGGCGTGTGTAGGATGACTGGATCTTCAGTATATATGAGCTTCGACGGATCTTCAGGATCAGGCTCTGGTTCCTTGTTAATGAGAACGAATTCTGGACTCTGATCTGCTCTAACAAACATAATGGATGTTATGAAAAATAGAAACATTTGTCAAATAAACCGGACAGAAGTAGCAGCAAACCCATCATAGAAGAGCTAAAAGAGCAAGAGTAATTTAAGCCCAAAAGAGACATGAAGAAAAACATGACCTGCAGAACAAGTAAAATGTTAATTCAAACGAATCTCCAAGTTTCATATCTCTCTTTTCCACTTTTTGTTGAATAAGCATCTCCAAGTTTCACAACCTCCGCTATTATGAACTCAAAATTCATAGTTTCCTCAATCATCTTCCATATAAATTAAACAACTAAATTAAGCACTGACATGGTGGCCTGGAGTGTCTTTGAAACATACATATAGAAGGGGAAGACAAGTGCAGACTGCAGACTTCTTCCAATGTAATAGAAGATATAAACACTAAA